GAGCCACACATTCTGTGAAAACGGGAATAGTCGGAACATTACCTTCTAGGGCCCCTCTCCCAAAAAAGCAACAACAATCTATGGTACTGACTACGACAAGAGCTTACTTGAACATTACGTTCTCCATTTACTAAGTTTATATTTACTAGCAGAAACACCGCCCTAGGGGCGACTGTTTGTGTTAGTAATTACTTCGTAGTATTCATTAATCATTGAAAAAATGTGAACACTTTTTAAAAAACAAAATGATTTTTCAGAGAAGTACTGCGCGGAAAAAGTGTTTAGATTGTGCTGATATAAACCGTAATGTTTTGATATATTGAAAGTGGTGTCTTTTATTGAACAAAATAACAGTTTTTGAAGAATACCATTTTTAGTACTATATTTACAAAATACATCAATGAAGATATAATCAAACCCTCACGTACGTACAGTCCTAGTGAAAGTCGTGTTCTTGTTGTGAAGAGAGTATTTTTATTTTAAATTGTGTTCTATTATAAATAAACGGTTGTTGCACGTATCGTAGTTATTTTTTTAATTGTCTGAATCATGAATGCCTAAAATGTGAATTTTTTTATGGATTTTTGTTTGTGGTGCCATTCAATAGATAACGCCACATTGTATTTATTATTTCTGTCACATACATAGATAGATGTGTATATACACGCTATGTCCATTATAGTAACATTGGTTGTTTTTCAATGACGCAAAACCAGGGCATTTGCAGACTTCTCGCTTGGTCACAGGTTGGGGTCAGTCTCTCATTGCTGTCTTAGTAGGGTCTGTAAATACTTCATGTCTACGTACTATACAACCAAAAAATGTCTACGTCTGAGCGCTTGAGGCCAAAGTAAAACATCACATCTCATGTAGATATATGGTAGGTAATCTTACCAATCATACAAGGCCAAAGTAAAACATTACATCTCTTGTAGATATATGGTAGGTAATCTTACCAATCATACAAGGCCAGAGTAAAACATTACATCTCTTGTAGATATATGGTAGGTAATCTTACCAATCATACAAGGCCAAAGTAAAACATTACATCTCATGTAGATATATGGTAGGTAATCTTACCAATCATACATTACTAGAACTGGGCGTGGCTAAGTGGTTAGCTTATCGGGCTTCGGATCAAAAGTTCCAGAGTTCGAAGCGCGACGTCGTTCAACACAACTGTAGACGTGTTGTAAAAGCGACAGACAACCCTGTTATGCGGTTCCAAGACACGGACAGAAAGCGCTTAGGGTGGCAGATGCTAGTGGTTAGCTTCTTCGTTATAATCCTGTATTAATAACGGACATATCTGAATAATCAAGGTCACTGACCTAACCTTTTGGTCCACGTGTACATAATGTGCCGATTAGGTTGAAAGTCTAATTCGGTAAGTGAACAGTATAGTGCCGTTTGGACCAGTTATAAATATTTTTTCTACTTTGCTGAGAGTCCATTCTCTCCCTGGTATTCGTTATCCTTTCAGATAAACATTGTTTACCTTAGAAGTTTTCTTTTTAACAAGTAAAACAGGGTAGAAAAGTACCGAAAATTCCAACGTAAACAGGTTATTAATGACATATACGGAAGAAAAGTGTGATTTCTGGCGAATTTGTGTTCCTTGTTCTAAAGGAAAGTACGTCATAATCCGGAAAGATAAATAAGACAGATTATCCCATCACGTGGCTCAAAGAAACTGATGGGTAAACTAAAATAGTTTGCAATCTTTATTAAAAAAAAAAAAACAGACCGCAAACCAAAGCATTGATAAACTAACGTAACGTTTTTATTTGTTTTAATTTTATCAGAATCTAATAAACAGATTTTCAGTGAGTTTAAGAGCGACAGAGAGTGCGTATGTATGTATAATATATAATATACACCCTAAATCCACGACCCTCAATAAATGGCCCATGGGCCAACATCCAAACCTTCATTTCTGGACCTCGGCAATCCTTTCTTAAAAGCTGTTCCAGAAGAGATTAGTCCAGAAATATTGCAATGATGAATATGCTATAAGATACATATTTTTAAGGGAGCTAGTACGGAAGGGGGAAGCTTGCTGAAGCTGAAGCTACCCTAAAATGTGACTTAGCCTCCCCTGTAGCCTCCGCACCCAGCGAACAATGCTTACTCGTAATTAAAGCTCGTTCACTCTAACTACTTAATTATTTTTTTGTCTAGTCCTCATCATCCCCCCCCCTCCCACCGAGAAGTGGCTGGCTGATCCCACATAATTTGATAAAGTTGCATGTCGTTTTCCACCCGAAGTGTTTTGTTTTACACATGGCTGTTCACCCATGCTATCAATACTCCCCCTTCCCCCATACTCGTCATTATAATTAAACTGCCCTATGGAAAACATAATTTGGATTTGTTCTCTGCATAGAGTACGTAGAGTAAAAATAGTGCACAGAAATATTTCATTTCTACTTTAGGTTTCAATGTGCTTAGATCTCGTTTCGGTTCGCGTACTGCTATTTAATTTGACCGTTTATCCACAAAATGAGACATGAAAGTGGAGAATTACAAATATTCGTTGTAACAAAAATCGTTTATCAACATTCTGCTCATTCGTTAACGTCCTTTCCTCAATAAAATAGCTTTTGATCAAAAACGTAACTTTTCAGTCTGTTTACATTCCAACACCTTGAGACACAAATCCGAAGAATTGTTTTATTGGAATGGAAAATCAATTACGCCCAGGTTCTGTAATAATATTTGAGCAGTAGCACTGCTGTAATGAAAACAAAACTACCAATAGCTCCAGCAAGTTTGAGTAATCTATCATTTACAGCCGATAAAGCTTAATTTTATAATTTCATTGACCTAGTAAGTTGGGCTCTACAATTAAATTTAATATACAGATCTATTGGGTTAGGTTTTAAGATTTAACCGTTTTTGGTGCGTGTGTGTGAAAAGGTGCTCATAATGAAGAAGTAAACGGTAGCGTGTGCCAGAAATAAAGTTTTTTGGACTTTTTTATCGGCTTGCTGGCTGAAACTAACTTTAATTCAGGGATTTTCTGATTGAAACTAAAAGGTTTGCAAGATTTTCTGATTGAAACTAAAAGGTTTGCAAGATTTTCTGATTGAAA